TAGCAATGCAGAAAGGGAATGTGGTTCAGGAACTGTTAGACAGACTAAACGCCACGATAACCGCATTTCACCTCATCGCACCTCATTAGTCGGCTCGTACAAGCCCGCGATACTGGGATCTACACTGTCCTGGACTTTGTAGTACCACGGGTTGGTACAGTTACAAAATAGTATCTTGTTCAGTATGGGTTTGTTATGGACCATATGTATCTGTCTCAAGAGGGTGAGATGAGGTGAAATGGGGTTTAACGTCGTACCTGAGATAACTTCGCTCATATGACGACTTGCATGCGTGTGTATGTGTGGCTCCTTGTACTAGCCCAGTGAGTGAGTGAGTTTAGTTTCACGCTGCACTCAGCAATATTCCAGCTACATGGCGGCGGTTTGTAAATAATCGAGCCTGGACCTGACAATCCAGTGATCAACAGTGTGTACGATGACATGTGCCAACCAAGTCAGCGAGCTACTAGCCCAGACTTAAGACTTTTAGTGCTAGCTCACTGCTATAGCATGCCGCAGTTATGCATGAATACCCCACTCAGACACTTTATACTGACTCCGAGCCGACCAGTCCTTGTTGTATCCATTAATGCCGAGCGCCAGGCAGGGACCAACAAGTACCATATTTTAACGTCTTTTGTTATGACGATCGAACTCGGGGATCGAACCCGTGACCTTCCGCTCTCCGGGCGGACGGACGCTCTAACCACTACACCACGGAGGCGGCCGTCTTAACAGGGGATTGTGAGGTAGAGGCTATTGGGGGGCAAAAAGTTGTAATTACTGTCTGTTTGTTTTTGTTATTCTTTTTTAAGTTTTACTCGTTTTATAATCTTGTAAAATAACATGTTTATCTAACAATGTGATCTGATAAAGTTGATATTGTCTTACCTCGTAATAATCTAAAAACAATGGTGTGATTGTTTAAAAGCACATCCGTTTCAAAGTCCAAACGTGAACGTTTTGATTTCTTTCATTTGTGGAATTCTTCACTACACTCATCATGTATTACAACTCCATTGTGGGAAAAGTATTCAAGGACAGGTAGAAACATTGTTTTGATGTCGTTTGTACACTCCTCAAGTTTTAAAAGAAAGCAAATTCACCATAAGCCAATAGATGGTATCGAGGGCAAGGCAACAGGAAAGTACATTCACAGTCTGGCGCCAGCGCAACATACTCAAGGAACCAGACTGTGAATTGACACGCTTGATAATCTGAACACATATCATCAAACGTAGAAGACTGTTAAGCGAATGAGGTAGGTGTCAGACGATTTGAAGAGGTTTTTTTTGGTTATATTGGCCTATCAGCTTATTTTAGCAATTCTTACACTTCTTAACCTCTTTGAGTGGCACTTAATTTAGAAGTTGGTGTGATGAACAAGGGGGGTAGTTCTATGGATATACAATTTTTGTATTTCAATATATACGACGTTTCGGTCTAGATGATGTTATTAAGCAAGTGTTGTGTATCTGCCACTCTTCCGTGTATATGTTAACACTGTTATTAAGCAAGTGTTGTGTATCTGCTACGCTTCCGTGTATATGTTAACACTGTTATCAAGCAAGTGTTGTGTATCTGCCACGCTTCCGTGTATATGTTAACACTGTTATCAAGCAAGTGTTGTGTAACTGCCACACTTCCGTGTATATGTTAACACTGTTATCAAGCAAGTGTTGTGTATCTGCCACGCTTCCGTGTATATGTTAACACTGTTATCAAGCAAGTGTTGTGTAACTGCCACACTTCCGTGTATATGTTAACACTGTTATCAAGCAAGTGTTGTGTATCTGCCACTCTTCCGTGTATATGTTAACACTGTTATCAAGCAAGTGTTGTGTAACTGCCACTCTTCCATGTATATGTTAACACTGTTATCAAGCAAGTGTTGTGTATCTGCCACTCTTCCGTGTATCTCTTAACACTGTTATCAAGCAAGTGTTGTGTATCTGCCACGCTTCCGTGTATATGTTAACACTGTTATTAAGCAAGTGTTGTGTATCTGCTACGCTTCCGTGTATATGTTAACACTGTTATCAAGCAAGTGTTGTGTATCTGCCACTCTTCCGTGTATATGTTAACACTGTTATCAAGCAAGTGTTGTGTATCTGCCACGCTTCCGTGTATATGTTAACACTGTTATTAAGCAAGTGTTGTGTATCTGCCACGCTTCCGTGTATATGTTAACACTGTTATCAAGCAAGTGTTGTGTATCTGCCACGCTTCCGTGTATTTGTTAACACTGTTATTAAGCAAGTGTTGTGTATCTGCCACGCTTCTGTATATATGTTAACACTGTTATCAAGCAAGTGTTGTGTATCTGCCACGCTTCCGTGTATATGTTAACACTGTTATCAAGCAAGTGTTGTGTATCTGCCACACTTCCGTGTATATGTTAACACTGTTATCAAGCAAGTGTTGTGTATCTGCCACGCTTCCGTGTATCTCTTAACACTGTTATCAAGCAAGTGTTGTGTAACTGCCACTCTTCCGTGTATATGTTAACACTGTTATCAAGCAAGTGTTGTGTATCTGCCACGCTTCCGTGTATATGTTAACACTGTTATCAAGCAAGTGTTGTGTAACTGCCACGCTTCCGTGTATATGTTAACACTGTTATTAAGCAAGTGTTGTGTATCTGCCACGCTTCTGTATATGTGTTAACACTGTTATCAAGCAAGTGTTGTGTATCTGCCACGCTTCCGTGTATATGTTAACACTGTTATCAAGCAAGTGTTGTGTATCTGCCACGCTTCCGTGTATATGTTAACACTGTTATCAAGCAAGTGTTGTGTATCTGCTACGCTTCCGTGTATATGTTAACACTGTTATCAAGCAAGTGTTGTGTATCTGCCACGCTTCCGTGTATATCTTAACACTGTTATCAAGCAAGTGTTGTGTATCTGCCACGCTTCCGTGTATATGTTAACACTGTTATTAAGCAAGTGTTGTGTATCTGCCACGCTTCTGTATATGTGTTAACACTGTTATCAAGCAAGTGTTGTGTATCTGCCACGCTTCCGTGTATATGTTAACACTGTTATCAAGCAAGTGTTGTGTATCTGCCACGCTTCCGTGTATATGTTAACACTGTTATCAAGCAAGTGTTGTGTATCTGCTACGCTTCCGTGTATATGTTAACACTGTTATCAAGCAAGTGTTGTGTATCTGCCACGCTTCCGTGTATATCTTAACACTGTTATCAAGCAAATGTTGTGTAACTGCCACGCTTCCGTGTATATGTTAACACTGTTATCAAGCAAGTGTTGTGTAACTGCCACACTTCCGTGTATATGTTAACACTGTTATCAAGCAAGTGTTGTGTATCTGCCACGCTTCCGTGTATATCTTAACACTGTTATCAAGCAAATGTTGTGTAACTGCCACACTTCCGTGTATATGTTAACACTGTTATCAAGCAAGTGTTGTGTAACTGCCACACTTCCGTGTATATGTTAACACTGTTATCAAGCAAGTGTTGTGTATCTGCCACACTTCTGTATATATGTTAACACTGTTATCAAGCAAGTGTTGTGTATCTGCCACGCTTCTCTGTATATGTTCACACTGTTATTAAGCAAGTGTTGTGTATCTGCCACGCTTCCGTGTATATGTTAACACTGTTATCAAGCAAGTGTTGTGTATCTGCCACGCTTCCGTGTATATGTTAACACTGTTATCAAGCAAGTGTTGTGTAACTGCCACACTTCCGTGTATATGTTAACACTGTTATTAAGCAAGTGTTGTGTATCTGCCACGCTTCTGTATATATGTTAACACTGTTATCAAGCAAGTGTTGTGTATCTGCCACGCTTCCGTATATATGTTAACACTGTTATCAAGCAAGTGTTGTGTATCTGCCACGCTTCCGTGTATATCTTAACACTGTTATCAAGCAAGTGTTGTGTATCTGCCACGCTTCCGTGTATATCTTAACACTGTTATCAAGCAAGTGTTGTGTATCTGCCACGCTTCTGTATATGTGTTAACACTGTTATCAAGCAAGTGTTGTGTATCTGCCACGCTTCCGTGTATATGTTAACACTGTTATTAAGCAAGTGTTGTGTATCTGCCACGCTTCCGTGTATATCTTAACACTGTTATCAAGCAAGTGTTGTGTATCTGCCACGCTTCCGTGTATCTCTTAACACTGTTATCAAGCAAGTGTTGTGTATCTGCCACGCTTCCGTGTATATGTTAACACTGTTATCAAGCAAGTGTTGTGTATCTGCCACGCTTCCGTGTATATCTTGACACTGTTATCAAGCAAGTGTTGTGTATCTGCCACGCTTCTGTATATGTGTTAACACTGTTATCAAGCAAATTAGCTCGTGCATGGTGCTGAAAAACAAGGCATCATTATCAGGCAGAACATATCTTCGCGCTCACAATGACGGGCTTCTGCTTCCTCGAACGTCAACACTGACGGTTGTGAAGGTGTAAAGACATAAACGTATTTTAACCAAAGCGAGCTACACATCCATCAGACCGTTCCACCTAGGTTACCACCTTGACTGATATATTTTCCAAACATATCACTTTCAGTCATAACTACTACAGCCGGGTCAGCTAACGCCATCATTGTGACACAATCACATACGAATCGTTTCTCGGTTCGTAAATAACTAGCTCCAGTCTCGTGTTGCTTCCAAATATCCGCCACTGTTTCTGTTGAAGTGTTGACAGGGCGTAAACTATATTTCTTCACTCGCTACTACGAGGTACAGAACTCGTCGGCCCAGTATATACCAAAATAAACGCCGACGTCTCAACGCGAGTGCCGCTAAAACCTACCAAGAAGTAACATTCATCCCTTGGTTCACGAACCTAACAGCGTTCACGCTTTGCCAGTTACTGACAGCAAAATGTAATGGGGAGGATTCGTATCGGCAAGATATTCCCCTAAAGATTTTTTTTAATCAGCTTCGAAACATTGCAATCATCCTAATGTTCAGATAAACAGGCAATGAAAATACACGTTACTTTATCTCTTTCAGATACACAGCTACACACGTGCTCATCGCATCCCCAGGCTCCTGACACGGTAGAGAGTACAGACCAAATTCTCTGCGATTCCTGGCAATGCCCCGCTTCAGAGGCAAACGTGCGTTATTGTTCCTCATGGGATTTTTCTCATCGGTTTACTTGATGTCAAATCTGTCTCTTTTCACTCAAGTGTCTTTTCAATCCCGGATGAGGAGGGAGATCCTCGCAAAGACAAAACACCACATCGATAAGCTTGTTACGCTGACTCCTCTACAGTGCTACGCAGCACACGTGCAATATCACAGTACGGAGTTTAAGTGCGATAAGCTCTTCAAACAAGATGTTCGTGAGACTACTCGTTCACGGGAATATCTGGAGAGAAATAATTTCAAATTTCCGGCGTTTCCTGAAAGTGTGTTTATAAAGGTGACGAAGGATTGTGGGGCATTTAAGAAAGTTCTGGGATACAAAAGGCAATATTCCAACATTGAAATTGAATTTCCACTTGCATTCTCAATCCTGACACATGATGGAATCGAGGCCCTAGAGAGGTTGCTGAGAGTGATCTACGCACCCCAAAATTTCTATTGTATACATGTGGATAGGAAAGCGTCGCCATTATTCTTTGATGCAGTCCAGACGCTCACAGACTGTTTCCCCAATGTTTTTATTGCATCCAGACTTGAAGATCTTATTTATGCCCATTTCAGCAGACTGAGAGCGGATTTGAACTGCATGGAAGAATTGTTGATTAAAGACAGAAAGTGGAAGTATCTCCTAAATTTTGCATCGACTGAAATACCTTTAAAAACGAATTTGGAAATTGTTAATTTTTTGAAGAAATGTAACGGTTCTAATGATATTCGTGAAGTATATAGAAGACGTAGACTGGAGAGATTTGTTTTCCGCTATTCAGTGTCCGAGGGGACATTGGTCAAAACTGACCAGCACTTGCCACCACCTCCTCATAACTTAACCATCACCAAAGGTCTCGCATACGGTGCATTTAGTCGACATTTCTTGGAATTTGCTCTAACCAATCAGATTGCTCGAGACTTCTTACTTTGGACCATGGATACTCACAGTCCCGACGAACACTATTGGGCGACACTGAATAATCTCTACCACAACCCGTTCCTCCACAGCCCCGGGGGGTTTACAGGTAAGAGTGAGTGTGTTTGTGGGATGAGCAGGTATACTAGTGGTCACTAGGCCGTTAACGAGCAGCCATACGATGGGCTGGTTTTGAGATCAGCATTTGTTTTCAATATTTGGAGCTCATGGTTTTTAATAACATAAACAGGTGGTCGGTCTGTTTGTTTGTTAAGTAAACGCTACTCGACCTTCTCGACCTGAAGGTCAAGTTTCAGAACGAGTTAGGTCGAGTCAGATCGAATCAGGTCTACCAAGTTTTTGAAATGTTTTTGACATGTCAAAAATTTTCCCCGACTTCCTCCTCGACCTTCGGTCCGAAATGGGGTCGAGGTAGGTTGAGTTTAGGTCGACATTAGGTCGAGTTTGTCGAGTTGAAGGTCGAGCTGGCCTGACAGGCCGATCTGTGTTCGTCTTAGAGTCGATCTGTACTAGGCATCGACTCGACCTTGAGTCGACCAACTCGAACTTGACTCAACTTGGACTCAACCTGGAGTCGACCGACTCGACTTGAAGTCAACCTATCTCGACCTCAACTCGACCTAATCTAGTCCGCGCCGACCGCATAAATGGTCGCCATCTTCCCAATTGCTTCATAAAAGCCAAACGGCAGCCAGTGGTAGCACATCATCTCCACACCAACCTGCTGCCACCCAGAGGTCCACCCTGAGCACACCAACCTCTCAAAGACGCCGCAAAGCAGCGGAACAGGCTGGTATCTTGCCCAACTTTGACCCCAGTGCTGCAGCAGGTATATCTCTGTACCTGCCAAGCGGTCTCTTGGACCCTACACACACCTCAGAGGATCAGTCACATGTTCAGGACTCACAGCAAGGACAGTGAAACTGAGAAGTAGAACCTGACACTCATATATTGTCATGATCACTTTATAATGATGTGAAATGTTACCTTCAGATTATTTAAATGAGTTTCCAATAAAAGATTTTTTTCATCTGATATGTTTTGTGTATTTTCCATCCATTGCTAAGTGTAAATGTAAATACATCTTGTACGATTGTAATAAAGTTTGTTTTGTTCATCATGTATATAGTTAGTTTTAATTGTGTTTTTTTCGCATTTACCAATTGTAAATAGTGTAAATAAAAAGCAAACAAGAGTTCCTTTGTAAATGAAGTAGTCCTAAATAATAGAGTACACTTTAAAGTCATTTGGATATCATCTTCCCTTGCCAATGAACAGCTCCTGGGCCCATGAAATAGTCCTTCAAATAGTTTCTTTGGTTGGCGCCATCTAGTGGGGTAACGTTCCTCGCACCCCGGTTATCCCCATCAAGCAGCTGTGTGCAGGAGCGCCACTCGCCTGGGGTGAGTGAACAGTCCTCATTCCCCTGGTCTATGAGGTTCATCTGACTGTTCCGGTTCCTCGTTCTCAGCATATTGTGTGAAGTGACGCAGGCCAGAGTTATCTGTTCAGCTATTTAGGGAGCCGAGGAGGATTTGGAACCTCATAGTCAGAATCCCGAAGGTATTCTCCACCACTCGTCTGGCCTGAGACAGTCTGCAAAAGTCACAAATTAAACATTTTTAAGTCAAATGCATTCAAAATCCAAAACCTTTCATATAATATTGCATGTACCCAAAGATAGTAAGTTATAATTTGATTTAGGTATTTATGGAAAAGAATAATTACCTGCAGTTGAAGATCTGCTGATCGGGGTCCATCTGACGCATGGAAAAGGACTTCATCATCCAGGGGCGGAGTGGAAAGGCATCGTCGCCGATGATGAAGTATGGCACACCATATCGGGAATACAAGCTCATCGCCCGCCCTCCATCCGATCTCGTGAATGGTTGAAGACCATCAGCGTCTGATGCTGATCCCTTGGCCCCGACGTTGACCCACGTGAACTTGTAGTCGGCATCCGCGAGTGCCAGCAAGACGATAGAGAAAAAGTTCTTGTAGTAGTAGAAGAGGGAACCGCTTTTGGGAGGCTTCTTGATGCGTATGTGCTTGCCATCAAACGCACCGGTGCAATATGGAAATTGCCACCTTTCCTTGAAAGCACGGACTACAGTATTCCATCTGCTCTGATCGCACTCATCTGACCGATACTCAGCTTTGAAGGCATCAAGGATGGGATTGATGTGCTTACGGCTGAGGCTTTGGCTTAGGAGGAGGGTTTAGCATTCTCCAGGTCATCCACCAGTTCAAGCAGGTGCCAGGCTATCTGCACCCAAATGGTAAGCAGTCTTCGCTTCTCGGGGATCACCAGGTTTACGTCAAGGTTCCTGATGGTGATGTTACTACTTTGCAGTCCTCTAATTGAATGGGTACCTGGTGAAAATGCACCCTGTAATTTATACAATTTGGAAACCAAGGGTCTACTCGGCAGAAAAATGGAATTTCCGTCGAGAACCAGTCGCTCCGGTTGAACACAGGTCGCGTAGAGGTCGGGCAGGTCGACTTAGGACGAAATTAATTCGAAATTAGGTCGATATACAGGTCTAGCTGTTCAAGTATAGGTCTTCTCAACTTAGCCGACCTGAGTCGAGATATGTCGACTGAAGTCGAACTAAAATCGAACTAAGGTCGTAAAGGTCCTTACGAGGTCGTTGTGAGGTCGAGATACCCCCCCAGGTCGAGTAGTTTGCGAGGTCGAGTCGGTCGAGCTCCAGAGGTCGCCACTGGGACCGCACCATATAGTCCGCAAAGATATTTCCAGAAATTCGAGGCATTTGTACGTGTTCTTTTTCTTTAAAACCGGGGCTTGAAAATCAGTTTTAAAACCACGCCAACCCAAGAGGGGCCTAATAATGGGATCGAGTGATCAGGCTCTCTGATTTGGTTGACACATGTCATCATCATATCCCAATTGTGTAGATCGATGCTCATGCTGTTGATCACTGGATTGTCTGGTGCAGACCGCCGCCATATAGCTGGAACATTGCTGCGTGCGGCGTTAAACAACAAACAAAAAAAACTATGGAGAAAAAAAATAAATGGAGGCTTCCTTAATCGTTGACAGTCGCTGAACCACACTACCAGGTGACGGAGGTGCGGTAGTGAGGTATCCCCTCATCTGTTCGTCCTTAATACCAGTCGGGCGGTTGTGTAGCCTAGTGGTTAAAGCGTTCGCTCGTCACGCCGAAAGCCCGGGTTCGATTCCCCACATGGCTACAATGTGTGAAGCGTATTTTTGGTGTTCCGTGATATTGCTGTAATATTGCTAAAAGCGATGTAAAACTCACTTGTCTAACCAGCCATTCAAAGCATGATCTAATCTGTGAAACTGATCCTGAAATTTAAAATATCCAAAATTCCTTTTCTAGCTAAGGAACCGTTCATATAACTGGTGTGTGTGTGTGCGTGCGTGTGTGCACTCAAATGGTAGATAATAATTATATAGATGGATAGATTTAGAGACATGTGGGAAAATAGATAAACAGGTAGGTTTATAGAGAGGGTGTGTGTTGTTGATGTTGTTGTTGTTGTTGTTGTTGTTGTTGTTTACCAAAGACGTCTTACGATGAAACAACGTCAGCCATGTCACCGAGTCTTACCACCTGATGTAGTCGCCCTTTACAACCAGCACTAATTGGCAACAACTCTAACTCAAACTCCCGCGTTGTCCTGAGCTTATGAATGCCAAAACGAGCATGGTAATCAAGATATTTTTATGGATTAAACTTCTTTTTTATTTTTCCCTCACGACGTTTCGGGACCATTCCAGGTCCCTTCATCGGGTGATGAAGAGTTTACCTTATGAAAAGTTCACCTGATGAAGGGACCTAGAATGGTGATGAAGAGTTCACCTGATGAAGGGACCTGGAATAGTGATGAAGAGTTCACCTGATGAAGGGACCTAGAATGGTGATGAAGAGTTCACCTGATGAAGGGACCTGGAATAGTGATGAAGAGTTCACCTGATGAAGGGACCTGGAATGGTGATGAAGAGTTCACCTGATGAAGGGACCTGGAATGGTGATGAAGAGTTCACCTGATGAAGGGACCTGGAATGGTGATGAAGAGTTCACCTGATGAAGGGACCTGGAATGGTGATGAAGAGTTCACCTGATGAAGGGACCTGGAATAGTGATGAAGAGTTCACCTGGTGAAGGGACCTGGAATGGTGATGAAGAGTTCACCTGATGAAGGGACCTGGAATGGTGATGAAGAGTTCACCTGATGAAGGGACCTGGAATGGTGATGAAGAGTTTACCTGATGAAGGGACCTGGAATGGTGATGAAGAGTTCACCTGATGAAGGGATTTGGAATGGTGATGAAGAGTTCACCTGATGAAGGGACCTGGAATGGTGATGAAGAGTTCACCTGATGAAGGGACCTGGAATGGTGATGAAGAGTTCACCTGATGAAGGGACCTGGAATGGTGATGAAGAGTTCACCTGATGAAGGGACCTGGAATGGTGATGAAGAGTTCACCTGATGAAGGGACCTGGAATGGTGATGAAGAGTTCACCTGATGAAGGGACCTGGAATGGTGATGAAGAGTTCACCTGATGAAGGGACCTGGAATGGTGATGAAGAGTTCACCTGATGAAGGGACCTGGAATAGTGATGAAGAGTTCACCTGATGAAGGGACCTGGAGTGGTCCCGAAACGTCGTGAGGGAAATAAAAAAGAAGGTTTAATCCATAAAATATCTTGGACATCTATGTACAACTTCTAAATGCCACTGAAAGAGCATGGTAATGTTTTGTATCTGATGGTGATAGATCATCTGTCACCTCATGCACAGGAATTCATGTAACAAGGGTTTCAACTGAATATTATGCATGAAATACTTGTCGTAAATGTCAAGTGTTGCCATGCTTCACATTTCGAGTATCCTAATCTACAATATAAGCATCCTAGGACAGTAGCTGTCATAAAGTCAATATAGACGAGCCAAAGGTGGGTGGTTGGAATCCTTTGCTTTATCCATAACACATTAAAAAGTGGTTCTTTAAAATTGTCAACTATCTTGACAGCACTTAATTCAGGAATTTGAACAACCAATGCTCATCATAAGACTGCCTGACTGACTGAGT